CAGTTCATGGGGCCACAGACCTCACATGGATCCACCCGGAGCCCGGAGCTGGGGGATGGAGCCCAGCCTCACGGCACGTGTGAGCCTCTCCGGGTGGTGGGCACACACTGGGCAGGGTGGGCTCTTATTAATTACTCTTATTAATTACTACTAATAACTTATTTCACATATTGTTCTTGATGGGATTTTGTTGCAGAGGGCTGCTGATATTTTAGGGATATGCAGGGCGAATCTCTGTCTGCACAGCCAAATCCCTGGGCCGGGGCTCCGAAGCCGCCGGCACAGCCCTCGCCGAGTGTTTCCAAACTGAATAGTCATTGGTTTGGCAGATAATTCAGAAACTATTTGTATGAGCTGTTTATCAAATTATTAACTGCACAGATGTTGTTTGGTTGAAGAGCAGCTGAACCTTCTCTCTGCCAGCCGGGGAGACAAAGGTCTGCAGGAATAATTGGAGATGTGCATGGAATATTAAATTAATTTACTGCTCTTAATTCTTATGCAAATCCTGACCTCTGATAGAGCCTATCAATTACCCTGCACACAGGGAAAAGAAAGGAGAACAGTTTCTTTCTTTTCTTTCCCCCCCTCTCCTTTTTTTCCTGTTGTTCTCCAGTTTGGGGTTTTGTTTCTTTGTTGTTGTTGGTTTTTTTTTCCTTTTGAAAGGGAACTTGGGAAAGGAAATATTTGTGGGAAGAAAAAAAAAGCCATTTATTTGTGGTGCAAAGGGCCAGGATTATTTAATTGAATGTCCCAGTTGCAGCGATGTCCCCTGGGAGACAGGGTGCAGTTTTTAACATTGTGGGGTGCTCAGGGGAGGCCTGGGAATGTAGGCCAGAGCCGGGCTGGAATAGCTCCACATGCTTCCCCAGGAGGGGCCCCACTCTTCCAGCACTGTGGTGGGCTGAAGTGGGAGAGGACTGGAGACCCAGGCTGATCCCAGCCGGGTTTTGGTGGGGTTGGGGGCAGGAAGGGGCCCCTGGCTCTGCTGGAATCCAGCCGGGGTTCGGGTGGGTTATCAGGGAGGGCTTCCTGCCCCGATAGCGGGGCTGATTCTGCCAGTAATTACCAGGGAAGAAGAAAGGGATTTTGTTGTGAGATCCCAGGTAAAATGAAGCAGGATTTAATTGGTCCTCGTTAAACAGAGCTGGGTTTCCAATATGGAGAAAGGCCTCGTCCGGGCAGTGTTTAATTGGGGCTGTGTGTGCGCTGCTCAGCCGGTGCTTAAAGGCAGACGCCGGGCCCTGTTCTTTCATCCCATTTTCTAATAAGGATAAATAAACAGGATGAATAATGCCATCAGTCTCTCCCTCGACCCCTGCGAGACCCCAGCAATGTAGTGCTGTTCACCCCAGAGCTGCTTTCTGGGATCCATGAACCCAATGCAAGCAGGATCCCTCGGCACGGAGCACCCGATGCGGCACCAGTGTTCTGTTAGCAGAACCCCCAGATCCAGCTACGGAGCAGTTTGGGGAGTTCTTTGGCTAGTGGCTGTCAGAGGGGAGCCTGAGGAGGGGATGGGGCTCAGGGGGCAGGAGGGGAAAGGAGGGAGAAAAGAATGGAAAATAAAATTATGTCTTTCCTTTCTATTTTTCCTTTTTTATTTTTTTCCCCCCGTAAATCCTGGGAAGCGCTGGGAGACTGCACTCCCCCTCCCACGCCGCCCACTCGGGTAATTTCATTTATCCCGCAAATCTAATTAGCAATCCGTGGCTGACATTAATACAGATCTAATGAGGCCGGCGATGACCAGATTATGAGGCGAGCGCTGACAGAGCCTTAAAGGCACATCGAGCCCTGCAGTCAGTGGGACCCGGCAGAGGAAAAACTACTTTAAACGGGGAGAAGAAAAAGAAAAAAAAAAAAAAAAAAAGAAAGGAGGAAAGAAAGAAAAAAAAATTAGACGAGGGAGGGGGAGGAAAACATGAGGAAAAGCGGTGCGGGTAGGGCTTGGCTGCTTAGCTTATTAAGGGAGCCGGAGCTTTGCTGGACGCAGTTTATCCACCAGCATCGGGCCTCTGTCCCGGCTTCTCCCGAAATACCGTTCTGCAGAGGAGAAAAAGGAGGGGGGAAAATAAGGGGAAAAAAAAAAATAAGAAGAAGAAGCTGGAGCCCAAGGAGTCGCTGTGCAATTTATTCCAAGGGGTGGCTGTTGAGAAGGCGGCAATTTGCGGCGGCCGGGGGTTATTTAGTGCGATATGAAATCAAATGATCCTATTGCTCAAATAACAGTGTCTGGGAGGAGAAGCGAGCGCGCTCCAAAGGTAATTGTCTCCAGATGATATTCCTATTATCCCCCAATCCCGGCCTAAACGCTGCCAGCGCCGGACTGGAATCGATACGGGGGGAGGACCGGGGGGATCCCGGGGCCGGGGGGAGACATCCCCGGCACTGACCCCCCTCGGAAAGGGCGGCAGGGCTACGGGAAGACCCTAAATTCCCTGTGGCTGCTGCCTGTCCGTGCCTCGGCGGGAGCGGCAACAGCGGCGGGGGAGCCGAGCCCGGAGCCCAGGTAAGGAACCTACCGGGGGACGGGGAGTGGGAACGCGGGCCCTTCCGTGCCCCGGCGGGCAGCCGCCCTCCGAGCGGACCCTTCTGCGTCGCTTCAGCCCAGCCCAGGCTGTCGGGTCCGGTGCGACCTCCCGCGGCCCCGGTCCAGCCCCGCCGCGCTCGGTCACCGATGCCTGCGGTCACCGATGCCTGCGGTCGGTCCCGTTTGCCCGGAGCCGCTGGAAGCGCAGCCAGACCAGGGGCGGTTTCACTGTGGATCTCCCCGTAGCGGATGGAGCGGCGGCCGCCGCTCTCCGCGGCGCTGCCCGATGGTAAAATCGCCGGAATTCAATGGCTTGAGGGAAACGGCGGGAGAAAATCCAAGGGGACGGAAGGCGGTGAGGGGGAGAAGAGAGCGAAGCAGCGGCACCTACCTGGGCGGGGGTCCCCGCGGCCGGGTCCGGGCTCGCTCCGTGGCCGCTGCGGCAGCGGGGACCGAACGCTCCGAGTGCGGCCGCCCAAGGCGTGCGGCGGCCCCGCAGCTGCTCCCCAAATTCCATCGGCGCGTCCCCCGCGCCGCCCGTGGGGTGGCCGGGGTTCCGCCCGGAGCTGCGGGTACTGGGACGGGGTTTTTCCCCTTTCCGCCTTTCTTTGTCAGCCTTTCGCCCGGGCGGGCAGTGAGTCCCCGGCGCTTCGGGCATAGAGAACAAACGCGCTGCTTCTGCAAAAAAAAAAAAAAAAAAAAAAAAAAAAAAAAAAAGGAGTATTGAGGGAGCGAAACTCCGGGCTGTGGAGCTCAGGAGTGTCCCGGCTGGGGCAGCTGTGTGCTCCCGGGGGCCAGGGTTTGCCCTGGACCCGTAACAGCGGGAGGTGGCTGTGCTGAACTAGCGGGGACACTGCAGGGAGCAGGAGGAGGAGAATGCTCGGGGTCAGGCGCCTCTCTCGGGTCAGGTCCCAATGAGAACGGGGCACAGGTCACTCCCCCGGGCCGCCAGGAGAGCCTGGTGTGGTTTGTGTGTCTGCACACGGGCAAAGCATTTGGAACCTGAAGCCTGGAGTGAGCCCCAGCCTTTGCCCAGCTGTGTGTCCACCTCGTGCTGCCTCACAGGTTCGTTGGAAACGCGTTTTTGAACACTGTCAAAATGCACTGTTGGAGGATTTTTCCTTCTCTGCTCAAGCCTTTTTGTCAGCTTCAGCCTCAGGTTCCTATTTCTGTTTGGTATGTTCTGAATGGAGTGCAGGGCCCAGGGGTGCTGAACTCCAAGCAGACACAGCTTAATTAATTGAATAGTCCCGTGCTTGTTCTCCCGCTTTTTACAAACAAATGAACAGTTGATATGTGTGGATTCTTTCATTCACCACCAGAACAATCCTCTGCACAGGACAGGAGAAAAACGCCTCATCAGTCACAGTAAACCAGCACGATGGTTTGGGGTGGGAAGTGACAAATACCATGTTCACTCAAAGGTGGATTTCACAGCACTGGGGTGAGGCAGGGTGCAGGTGAGACCTGGGCTGGCTGCGCAGGCAGTGCTTCCTCAAAGGCAAGCCAGCTTCCCCGGTGCTCCCAGGTCCAGGCACTCAGCTCCAGACCTCTGGCAGAAGTGAGACTGGAACAGAGCCAGCAGCCAAGCCATGCCCAGGCAGGAGCTTGGAGTCCCCTGCAGTGTGAGCCCGGAGCTCCACGCTTGCTCTCCTCCTGCATGGCCCTTTTGCTGATCCATTCGCTTTTATTTCCCAGAGTCGCTGCTGACCCGCAGGTGTTCCTGCTGAGACACAGACGTGGTGGGCAGTTTTTGAATGCTAGGCTGTGAGGAGGCCAGGAATCCTCCAGGAACACCGTGTTTGTCTGTGTGTCTGTCCCAAGAGCCACGCTCCGCTGCCCGTGCCACCAGATCCCAGTTCCTGGCCCCACAAACCACACAGCTCGCCCAAGTGCCTCCCTTTGTTTCAAACTCTTGGAGCCTGGAGCACTTGTTGAACCTGACGATGAGTGCATCAAAGTGGCTGACAATTAGGAAATAAACAAATATAATTTGAGGCATTTTTGGGCAGAATCCTGTCATACATAGATGGGCTCATTGCTGTTGTTATAATATTGAATATTCCTCCATAGTTGGGATATTTGTGCTGTGCAGCAGCGTCCCTGGCACGGCAAACGTTGCATTATCTCGCTCTGCAAAGTCTTCATTAATCAAACCAGACAATGGGCCAGACACATCCCTTTGAGCCTGGTGCTGGGATCCTCCGGGCTTTTCACCTTGTCCAAACACTTCGTCCCTGTCAATGCAGGCAGCAGCTCTTCAAAACCGATGGCTCTGATCTGTGGGACTGACAGGAAAATGTCTAATTCAGTTAAAAGAATTCCCCAGTTATTTTATGTTCTCCCTTTAATTTTTCATGGTGTGTAGAAACTAAACTTTTTCAGTCTTTCCATCTGTACATGAGATCAATCCAATCATTTGTTAAAACACTAATGAAAGAGCCTGATAGATCTGTGTCCTTTAAAGCAGCAGCAGCAGCAGTGGCAAGCACGGAGATCGAGCAGGATGGAGTGGCCTGGCCAAGCCATGGCCCCGCTGGCAGGAGCTGCAGAGTGGACAGCAGAGGGAACAGCTTGGTCATGAAGGTGCTCTTCTCCTGAAAGAGGATCCTGGCAAAAACATGGCTTGGTGCAGGGGATGACACACTGAAGGCGAGGTAGGACCTTGTGTGCTGGGAACGGGTGTGGGTGCTGTGTCCCCTTTTCCTCACTGCAGCACTGCTGCTCCGTGCGCAGAGCTGGCAGCAGGACAGTCGGGCACAGGGAGTCCTGAGAGCCCCCAGAGGGATGGTCTCCATCCCGCATCTGTGAGGAGGGGAGCTCGTGGTGCCTGTGGCAGGCTTTGCCTTGTGCTGGGCTCTGTCTCCTCGGGTCAGGCTGCAGCTGAGCGGGACCCTGGTGCCCCCAGCCATGGGACCCCAGCGGGCACTCGTGGCACTGAGCTTGGCTGTGTGTTGTGAGCCATTTCTGCCACTTGCAGTCTGGCCACTGCAGGCTCCAAAATGAGCCAAAATACCCTCTCCTGATCACAAACACACCAGAGCTGGTTCAGCTTGGGGAACAGAAGTTGACGGAGCTGTGGCACAGGGCGCTCACGAGTGTGAGGTGTAGATGCTTTCAGGGAAGATGAGAGTTGAGCCTTTGGCTGTGAGTGGTCGAGTTCAAATTCAGCCCGTGGGCTCACATTCAGCTTTTTGAAAGCCTGAATTCAGTTCTCATTTTTCCAGGGACAGGGAAACTCAACACTGTCAATCTCCTCTTTCCTCTTCAGACAGCGGCAGACACTCGAGCGGAGACTCCTCGTGTTTACAGCCTGGTCATACGAGCTACTGAGACCCAAAATCTCCCTGACATCCTCTCTGGATGCTTGGCCTCGGAACAACCTCATTCGTGCCACACCTGCTCCCTTCCACTCGTGGAGCCTTCTATGCTGCACAGGACACTGGAAAAGCACTTGGAGATGGCTGGAGAAGGAGGGGGACTTCCTGGAAAACAGTCTCTAAACCAGCCCTTCCCTGTGCCGTGGCTTTTCTGGGGCTCATTAATATCAGTGGTATGTGCTTATATCTCAATTCTCCAGGATTAATTCAAAATCCACGGACAGTGACATGCCTAGGGGCTTTTCAATTATGTCACTCGGCTTTGGCTAAGGCCCTTACATTTGCAATAAACAAGACATGCTTTTAACTGCTGCGGTCTCCAGGTTTTTGTGTACTCAGCTGTTGTGTTCTGCGTTCCAGGTTCCTGCTGGAGGAACTCTGTCACCTTCCCTGAGGCAGCAGATCTGAGGCCAGACGTGGTGTGCGCTGCTTGAGCGTCAGACACGAGTAATAACAAGTTTCGCGGAACTGTACCACTTAATAAAAGCATTTTATTACATTTAAATGTATTAAAATGTGAACATTAAATTCAACATGCTAATTACTGTTCCCAGGCACTGCCACTGACAGGAAATGGATCCTCACAATTGCTCTGCTGAGATCGCTCGCTGCTGTTACTGCTCTTTGGTTCTTGGTGTGTTATTAGTGCTCTGCATTTGGGACTTGAGTCATTAACAAAAAAGACTCGTATTGGGCATTATGTAAATTCTGTATGTTTTCACACAGCTCCCGGGGCCTGTGTTATATGTCTCATTGACAAAAAGAAAAGCAAATGCATTTGGCTCTGCCCTGGCTTGTGGGTGAGGGATCTCAGGGGTCACCCAGGCACAGAGAGGGAAAATCTCTTCCTAACACATCTCTGTGTTTCTGCAAATCCCTTTCCAGGACAATTTGTCCTCCTCCCACTTGCTGCATCTCCCATGACACCCTACCACACACACCAACAATTCCTGCTCTGTAAGGAGTTTCCCACTTTTCTGGGAGCGAGGGGCTTCTCATCCCTGCAGCAGGCATGTGCAGCACGTGGATCCATTGCCCTGGAAAACTGGGAAAGCCTGCCAAGGGTCTCTGGTAGGTGAGAGGCCTGTGGCCAAGCACTCAGCTCTGTGAGGCCAATCCCGCACCTTCTGGGATATGGTTACTTCCCAGAGGAAAGGGGGATGCTAAAGGACACGTGGCTGCCTCCCTAAATGAAAAAGAGCGTAAAGCTGTTCAGATTAGTGCACATCAATCCCTGCACTGGAATCAAGAGATGCTTTGGTTTGGCAGCTACTGGGGACAAAGCCACCATTTCGTTCAAAGTGTATTTAATGCGACAGAAGGAGGCGCCTTCCTTTGACAGTTTTACAGCTCTTATCAGATTACATCAAAATTAAATTAAAACAATCTAAAAGAAGTGTGAAGTACTGCAGGGAGAACACAAATAAAACACTCCTCTTTGTAGGCTTTCAGGGTAGAGACCACATTCCTTATCAGGGATGGGAGGATGGAGATTATTCTTGAGTCAGTTATGAGCCCAGGTGCTGCGGTGAGCACCGAGACACGGAACAAAGTGGGAAATACATCAGGGGGACCAGGCTAGGGCTCCTTATTTCCTTATTTTTCATTAAATAAATAGCAGGATGTTGAGCCCTGCTGCGGGACAACACCCTCAAGCCCCAGCCTGAGGTCCATAGTGAAAAAAACCTCCCAGGGCTGTCCAGGAGACAAACTGTGCAGCCCGATGGGTCAGGGACCGTCAGCCCCTTTCCACCAAACCCTCAAAACTGGAATAAGCCTTCCAGTTTTTCCTGATTTCAGGGCTCAGGATTTCAGACAGTGCTGGAAGTGCTTGGAAGTTTTGCACTGTTTTAAGTGTTCCTTTAGCAAGCACAAATATTTCCGAAAGCAGGCCCAGATTTCACCTGTGGGCTCTTGTGAAGGTGTGGGGGAGACCTCCAAAACACACCTTTGCTTTCAGTAAACAGAAGGAGGGGGGAGAACAGTCTTCATGCCAAACGCTTTATATGGGAATGCAGTACTAAAAGGCTCCCAAATCCTCTGCTGGGCATTCCTGGAGTGGGAAAGCTCTGACTCAAGCCAATGTTCTCCATACTTTGTTGAGCCGGGTATTTAGACGGACACGCAGGGTCTGAGCCAGGCTAATCTGGGGGCAGCTGGGCGCCACTACATCCATTCCACAGAGCTTTTCGCTCAGCCATTAAATCCATGAAGCTGAGCTGGAGGCTGCAGGTGTTGGAAACATCAGGAATGCTGCTGGATCACCAAACCCAGTCTAGGAACCCCAAAAGCTCCCGATCCCCCCAAGGCCTGGGCATGTCCCCAGCCGGAGCCTCCAGCTCCAGCTGAGCTTTCATGTGTCTGTTCTTGGCCAGAAGTTCTAACGAAGCGTAATTACTGTGATGATCTCGCACTAATTGTACTCTGATTGCCATCCTAATTATGCTTAAGCATTTCACCGCTCTCCGCAATTTTGTCTATTGATGTATCTCTTCTCCTTCATTTCAATTATTCCCACAGTATTCAGATTTTATTGGGGCCCTGGAATTTAAGCGCTCATTTGGCAACTTCCTTTCAAAGGGATTGAAGTTTTTATCTGGAAATGAAAGGCGGGCGTTCTGTTTTCATTCTCCAGCTGGAGATGTGAATGCAGGGCTGGAGATGGCTGTGGCTGACTGTGGCTTCTCCCATACGAATTTTGGAGAGGTGACAGCACCACAGGGACACAGTGGCACTCCAGAGGACAAGGAAATCAGGTTGTTTTTTTTTTTCTTGAAAACCATGTTGTACAATAAACTCAGCAGAACCAACTGTAGCTGTTCAACAGCTCCCAGTTATTTTTTGGATTGGCGCTTTGCCGATTTCCCCCTTTTCCAGCGACATGGATCCTGTGTCGCCTCAGCACCAAGCCGGGGGCTTAACGCCTGCGATAATAACGTGGTGGTGAGAGATGGGCTGAAGACAAATAATTATTAAAAACAAAACAAACAAAAAAAACCCCAAAAAACAAACAAACAAAAAAGTCTTCAAGGCTTCCAAAGCGCCTCTGGGCGGCGCAGGCCGCGCCCGCCCGTCCCCATGGCAACGCGGGGCGGCACTTCCGGGGTCCCGCGCGGGGCACGGCGGGAGCCGCACGTGGGCACCGGCGGAAACCGCGCGGGGCCACCGGGATCGGGAACGGCCCCGGGATCGGGAACGGCCGCTGGGACCGCCCCCGGGATGGGCACCGCCAGCCCCGCGCCAGGTGAGCCGGGTCCCCCCGCGGGGAGATTGGGCTTCGGTTCCCGCCCCGGGCCGGCGGATGCTTTCCCCCTCCTTGTTTTCATCCATCTCCTTCTTCTGTTCCCCTTCGATGTCTAAGTTCTGGAGGGGCTGGGAAGTCAGTCGCCAGAGATTCAGCTCCTGACGGATGGACCACCCCGTGTAACCGGACTTTGTCAGGCTCTGCTGGCCGGGGTTTGTTCCCGTGTCCAGGCTGCTCATGGCAGTGCTCCGGGCACTGCGGCCTCGGGGGTTTGTCCGCTGTGCCCGCCCCAGGAGCCCTTCCCTGGGTATCCCTGCCGGCCTGAGTGGCTGCAGCGGGCTGGCCGGTGAAAAACCCCGCTGGTGGGGAGGGAATGGGCTCTGGGGAGCTGAGGAATGCAGTGTGTTCCCTGCGCGATGGGGGAGTGGGAAATGGGATCAGAGCACACATCGGATCACATCCATCGGCTTCTTCATCCTTTAGGAGATCGGTGTTCTCCACTGAGGCAGGAAAATTACTTGGACAAGTGTAAAAACAAGATCTTGAAATCTGCGTTTGCTTGGCTGTCCGTCGCGTAAGAGGAGATTGAAGGGATGAGATCCCAGATGGAGCGTGGCTGTTAGATTGTGCACATGACACGCAGCCCTAATCCTGCTCCCGGCGCTGGCAGGATCACATGGCTAAACAGGACGCCTTGATCTCCCAGGCAGAGCAGCAGGAAGGGTTTTTCCTCTCTCCCTTCTCTGCAGGGAAACTACGAGGAGGTGTTTGTGTGTGTAGGGAGAGCCCAAATCCACGAAAAAGTGTGGCAAGACGTGTTGGGATCTGTGATGTCCCCTTTGCTGCCTAATGACAGCCTGATGCTGTTCCTGAAGAGGCACTTGGCTTTGCTTGTGGCAGGGCTTGCTGGAAGCTTCTCTTGGTTATTTTCAGTTTTTCTCTCAGGGCATGGTTGTTCATCCTCAGGTGCAATTTGGAATTATTCAATAATGGCAGCTTTACTCTCTTCCCAAAAGCACCTTCCCTGTGGGATGGCTTTGTGGTTCAGCATGTGTCTGTCCCGTGCCTGGTGCCCTGGCGCTGCTCTGGGCAGTTCCAATGGCTCCACAGGCTCTCAGCACCGCCAGGATTCCTGGTGGACGCTTGTTCCTGCAGCACTGCTGCAAGTGGGGCTCACCTGCCTCTGGATGGACCTGGCTTGGGTGCCAGGAGGGAAATATGAGCTTGGTTTCAAGTTCAGTTCCCAGATAAAATACTTGGCTGGCATGTGGGGTCTGTGAGCTGGGAGGGGTTTTGGAAGTGTGTTCTAATCCACCCCTGTGGCAGGTTCAGGGCAGCTGTCCTGGGAACAACTCCAGCCAAGCGTTTCTTGCATGGAAGGGGGTCTGCCGTGGGATTGTGGGGCAAGAAGGGGAGGGATGGGCTTGGGAACTGCCCATCCAGAACTTCCTGGGCTGTCTGGGGTCTGTGGCTGATTTGGTGGGTCCCGTGTGGATGTTCAGGCATCTCTTCCCTTGCCAGCAACCCTGTTCCAGTGAGGAACAGAGAGAGGGGTGAAAGTCTGGAGTTCTGCAAAACCCCTTAGTTCTGATGTTTGGAGACCTCAGATGGTGAAATACTTTTATCTCACTGTGTGTTGTTTTCTTCCAGTGAAGCCAGAAGGCTGGAATTAGGAAGGCAGAGAATGGAATGCACAATGGCTGATCCACACCTGTAAGCCTGTTTAAAAGCTTCTCAGGGGTTATTTTATTTTAGTTACAAAGGTTTTGTTATCTTGGAATGCCTTTAGAATGTTGTCTTGAAGGTTTTTCAGTAATAATACATTTATATTCATGTTAAGTGTAATGCAAAATTCATGTATTCAAGTTATTGATGAAATAGCTGCAGCAGTAACATAAATACCTCATTCTGTGGATACTAAAATCTTGGGAATAACCAACATGCAGGTTGGCTTTATCCTATTTTTATAAAATCACCACAGCTTAGTCCATGCTGGAGAATCCCAGGATCTTAGAAAGTTGAAAGCATTAAGAAGCCCTAGGGGATATTCCAGGTTTTGGTCCTGTTCTTTGGATTCTTTCTGCACCATCTATTTTATGCAAATTGCTGGACAGTCTGTACAAAAGAAAAAACCAAACCAACAAGCCCAAACCCTACACAGCAAACCAAAGGAAAAAAAAAAAAAATCCAGAAGTCCCAACAAGCAGACAGGACTGAGAAGTGTCATCCAATGTTCCATTCCTTTCCTCAGGGGTGTTCTGTAAAGCTCCAGAGACTGAGT